AAAGAAGAGAGAGGGGGGAGGAGAGGAAGGGAGAAAGAGGAGAGGGGGGAGGAGAGGGGAGAGAGAGAGAGAGGAGAGAGGGAGAGAGGAGAGAGGGAGAGAGGAGAGAGAGAGAGAGAGAGAGAGAAACATCTAAGGGAACACCATGCTATCCTCACCAGGTGTGATGGGTAATTCTAGGAGACAACTTGACTGTACTAAAGCACAGCTGGTCAACTGGGAAGGTTCTGGGCACATGGAAGCCTGTGTGTGAGCTAAGGGACTTGGTGCAGAATGTCTATTGGCAATGCAGGTGAGCATCATCCCTGTGGCTGGGGCCAAGACAGTACCATTCTTTTTTTTTTTTTCCTGAGACAGGGTTTCTCTGTGTAGCTTTGGAGTCTATCGTGGAACTCACTCTGTAGACCAGGCTGGCCTCAAACTCACAGCAATCTGCCTGTCTCTGCCTCCTGAGTGCTGGGATTAAAACTGTGTGCCAACACCGCCCGGCATGTCAGTACCATTCTTACCCCTTTAGGCTGTCAGACATACAGCAGTAACCCTCTCAAGCCCTGTGACCTCATCTGTATTAAAACATCAGCTTCCTTGATTCTGAGGACTTCAAACCTGGACGGAGTCAATCTACTAGTATCTTGGGGTCTTCAGCTTGTTGGCTTTCTGGGGGCCTCTGTGCACCCATAACCTTGTGATCTACTCCCCTAGTAAATCCCCTCTCATCTCCATCTCTGGCAATACCACTTAGAAGAGGAACAAAGTCAAGGTCCTTAATCAGGCCCCAATTGGCCACTCACCAGTTCTCTGTAATAAAAACGTGAGAATTTTTGTCCTCCTCCAACACTGGAAGTGACACAGACAAAGGCCCTTGGACCATGTCTAGTATGGTCAGAGCACTCCGTATCAGCTCTTTCACCAAGCAGCCTGGAGCTTTCCACAGGCTCAGGATGGGGACATGCTAACCCTCATCTCCCCTCTCCATCTGTCACTTGGCCACAAACAGCATATGGCGCTGATTAAAGTTGGAGGAGACCCAACATGTGATCCTTAACCCAAGGGACAGGGATTGGTTTCTTGATCTTTCCCTCTCCTGTAAGCTGACTCTGTCTAACATCTACAACAATGAGCACATACAGACTGGGACCTCGGTTTAGCATAAAGGCCAAGGCCCCCAGGAAGCTCCCCAGAATGGAAGGAATGTTTATAATTTAATTTTGGGTACGTTTGGAAGGACAGAAACAACTCTAGGAAGACAATGAAGGTTTTAGTAAAAAATTAACTACTTTATAAACTTTGAAAAGTTTTAAATAAATTCTGAAGAGCATAGAGGTTCTTTGGTCATTGTCATCCATACTTTGTAAATTTTACAAAGATCTGACTGCTTCTTCTGTTCTTGCTTTTGTTTTTTATTGCATGTATTTTTCAAGATAGGCATGCCTTATGTCACCCGGCCTGACCTCAAACTGTCATCCTTTACTCCTGCCTCCACAACAGTGTGATCACAGGCAAAGTCTGCAACTATTTCACCAATTCTCAAAACCAAAGTTTTCCTGGTGGTGACAGGACCTGCTTAAAACCCTCACAGCTACCTGATGCTCTGCCCAGTGTAACAGGAGCCTCTCAATGGCCTTCACCTTTACTTCCTCCCTAGATCATGCCTGCTCTATCTTCATCCACCATTGCTGAAGCCCTACACTGTGACTGCAATCTGGACTTTACAAATTTCCTAGGCTGCACTAGATACTTTTATGCAGGGAAATGAGACCACATTCATGGTTTTAGAAAGCGATCTGTACACCAGGTGTGATCACACATGCTTGTAGAAGCAGGGAAAAGGATGAAATAACTGCAGGGCTGAGTTACGAAATGTCAACAGAAATTAATGCTATGTGGTAGAGAGAAAACAAGCAGAGGTGGAAACAACAGAAAGTGGGGACAACTGAGGATCGGCTAGGACAAGAGGTTCTGCTTAGAGACTGGCCCAGAGGGAAGGAGAGGAAGACAACGTGTGGGGAAGAAAGAGGTGGAGCAGTTGTGGGGGTAGGGTGGGGTGGGGGGGTGGCACACTCTAAATCTAATGTTTTTATGCAACATCTGGTTGGCTCTAACTCCTACAGGCAAGCCTTGGCCAGAAAGGCCTAGAGCAGCAGAGGACACAGGGCTGCCAAACCCCTGGAAGGAATTAAATTTCCAGTTTCCCACTCTCAAGTCCACAATAACTAGGACCAATTGGTGAGGCCTCTGCTCCGGTCTCTCCTTTTACTTATGGCATGGGATGGTGTGCAGTCCCTGGCTTGTTCATTCTCAGCCTTTCTGCATCTCAGACTCACAAAGCAATCCCTTGCATCCAGAGACCCTCCCCGACTCACCAGCTGGATCTCAACAGCGGTCATTGGCCTGTGGTTTAGCAGCTGAAGCTTCTCAGCTCTGTCAAAAGAAAAACATGAACTTTTTAAAACTCTCATGCCCTGAAGGACCTTGGATCTTGATCAAGTTACTATCAGGAAAGAACTGGAGAATCCCTGCCACGTGGCTCTGTTATAAGGAAGAATCAGAAGAAGAAGGGACACCAGACCTCTACTCAGTGGTCTATATGCCAGCACCCTGCAGGAAATACAGAGGCACAGTGCTTCCTAAGGGAGCAACAGCAGAGGTGAAGTTTGAGGAATGACTCCCTGCAGACAGACCTCATGACAGAAGGACCATCCCTGGATTCTCCAAAAGACAACTGACTCCCAAGGGTTGTCCTCTGATCCACATCCTGCACTATGTCTCGCACACACTCACGCCCATATAACAAATAAGACGATTTAAAGCATGTTTAAAAAGATAACACTTGCCGTGCATGGTGGCACAAACCTCTGATCCCAGCACTTGTGAGATACAGGCAGACAGATCTCTGTGAGTTAGAGGCCAGCCTCCTCTACAAAGTAAGATCCTGTCTTAAAAATACAACTTCCTGCCGGCCGTTGGTGGCACATGCCTTTAATCCCAGCACTCGGGAGGCAGAGGCAGGTGGATCTCTGTGAGTTCGAGATCAGCCTGGTCTACAAGAGCTAGTTCCAGGACAGACTCCAAAAGCCACAGAGAAACCGAAAAAACAAAACAAAAAAAAAAAAACAAAAAAAAAATTACAACTTCCCATATTTGCTACACAAATTTTATTAGGAAAATGAGAAAGTGTTTTCTTAATTCAGTTTAAAGAAAATGATAAAATTACCTTCATTAGTTAGTTACTGCTTAGAAATGGCCAAGAATTCTGTTTTGAGAGTAAGATTATATATTGCTCAGATTTGTTTTGTTTTTATTTCTTTTTAAAAGAACTGTTAACATTTATTTATTTATTTAGTGTGTATGCATATACATGTATATGTGTATGAATGCCACAGCACACATGTGGAGCTCAGAGGATAATTTGCAGTTGTTTCTCTTTCTGCCATGTGGATTACAGGAATCAAACTCAGGTGGTCAGGCTTGGCAGCAGATTCCTTACTCACTGAAGCGTCTCTTTTTTTTTTTTTTTTTTTTTTTTAATGACAGGCTGCCCTTGAACTTGCTATCTAGCTGAGGATGACCTTGAACTCCTGATCCTTCTGCCTCAATGTCTCAGATGCTAGGATTACAGTTCGTGATAATTGATATGGATTGTCAATTTGACTGGATTTATCATCATCATGAAAACAAATCTCTGGACATGCCCATGACATAGTTTCTAGCTGAATCACCTGGGGTGGTGTGACAGACACATCCTAAATGTGAATGCCTTCAACCACTAGGGCTGGGGTCAGACTGAATAAGAAGGAGAAAGTGAGCTGAGCACCAGCATCCATCTCTCAGAGTTCAGACTGAGGCTGCACTGTGATCAGCCTCCTCCCTCTCCTGCTGCTATGCTTTCCCCACCATGATGGACCACATACCCTTTCTCCCTTAAATAGCTTTTGTCAGGCATTTCGAACAGCAAGGAGAAAAGTAACAATATAGTGTTAGTCACATTTGAATTATCTTGGTAAATAAAAGAAGTCAGGCATGATGGCTGAGGCCTGTTACCTCAGAACTGGGGAGGCTAAGACAGTATGTCAAATTTGAGCCAGCCTGGGCTAGTTGTAAATTTTCATAAAAAGTGTAAGAGATGAAGACAATAATTACCATCTGACCTGAAACTTGGTATGAGGCCAAGGATGACTTTAATATCTGATCTTCCTGCCTCTATCTCCCATAAGGATTATAGGTCACTATGCCCAATAGCAATTATCATCTGTCACAAGAGATACACAGCCCACTGCTGAAGAGGTTAAAAGGTGGCAGGACCTCAAAGATTATAATTACTTATATATAATTAATTATATTTCATGTGTATGAGCATTTGTCTACATGTATATTATGTGCCCACATATGGAGACAAGAAGGCATCAGATCCCATAAACTGGAGTTATAAATAGTTATGAGCCCCCCTGTGGGTGCTGGGAACCAAGCCCCAAGTCCTCTGCAAGGACAGAAAGTGCTGTTAACCACTGAGCCATCTCTCCAGCTCCAGTGACAGGACTTCCAGGGGAGGAGAATGACTCCACAGCCGCCATCCCCACACAGGTGATACAGTTCTGTGTCTTTCTGGTTCTGAATCTGGAGATTCACACTCATCCTTTAGTTGTGTTCAACACAATGAAGTTTAAAGATGAAAAGCCACAGTTGCTTTAGGCAGGTATCTGAGAAGCAGTCTGAGTTAAGTACCACTCCAAGCCTCAGGGTCACGCTGTGAAACAAGTTAGAGTAGCACTTAGAGCACATGAGGGTTGAGAGGTAGCATCTCATATCCGAAGTGGCTGCTACCACCACTGCCTGATTTCCATTTGGCTTCCAAATGGGAAATACTAACACTGAGATAGGAAATAAAACTGCCCAAGGTTCCCAGTAGTCAAGACAGGGACGTAGCCACCACAACTAGCATTAGACATATGCTCTGGCAGAAACGGTCACCATGGTAACTGACCCACTACAGTTTCACCAATGATTTGAGTACTATTTACAGCACACGTGGTCAAGTTCTATTCCTCAGAATCCCCTAAAATATTTACCAATTATCTATTCAACAAACGAGACTTCACAGTAGTAGAGTGCTGGCCTCATATGCAGGAGGTCGTGTGTTCAATCCCCAGCAGGATGGGGAGAAATTCGTATTTCCAAGCCTTGTGAGCCGAACTCCAAACCTTTGTAGCCAAGTGCCTCCCACACATCTCCATGTAGACATGGCAGATGCTTCAAAATCAACACATCTGATGCTATCATGATTATTCTTTCCAACAAACTAGTTCCTCCCCGTACTTCTCATCTTGAAGAGCCTAAAGTCAGAAATCTGGGAGGCACCCCTCACTTCTTACCTGCTGCCAACACTCAATTCCCGGTTACTTTTCCTTATGTTTCTTTGAAGTTGTTTGTGTACTCCTCACCATTATTTTAAATCCCTCCAACCTCTTGGTTACTGGACAAAAGCTCCTTCCTGAGCCCTTCAACTTTTCAATATACTTTCCTCTTGTGAGCAAATGTCTCTTCAAAGACTGAGATCTTGTGACAGGAAAGAGGGCTCAGTAACTAAGAACTCTCACAGAGGACCCAATTTTGGTTCCCGGTACCCACATGAAGGCTAACAACTTTCCATAACTCCTATTTCAGAGGATCTAACACCCTCTTCTGCCCTCCATGGATGCCAGGCAGTATACATAAATACATACATGCCATTCCCAGGAAAGCCAGAAGGTGCTGGACCGTCTTGGTGCTGGGAAATGAACCCAGGTCTTCAGCAAGTACTCTTAATCACTGGCCCCTCTTTTCAGTGAAAGGCTTTGGTATCAATTTAAATTTCTCTAGTTCACCCCCCAAAAAACCCTTGGACTCTGTTCTTCAGCAGTCTATCTTCATATGGCTCCACTTTCACTAAATATAAACACGATTCAGAAAAGCCTCAGGACAATTCCCAGTTCCACATCTTGTCTAGCAAATGGCATTTCCTCACCCGAATCTGGAGACTTGCTTTATCTTACCATCACCTCTATCATAAACAAAACAGTGCCCTAAAACTGACCTTCATTACCTCTCCACTACGACCCCTCCTCCATCCCAGCACTGAGAGAGACAGAGCCGGCATAATGCAAATGTAACTGAAGGGTAAGCTAAAGGGAGGGCTAGGAAACCCTTGACTTCTAGAAGCTTGTGCAATTCTGAGGAGACAAGAAGCAGGAGTTTATGTGCTGAGAGCACACTGGCCAAAACCACTAGGGAAACTGATAACCCATCATCTACACTTGAGCTCTGCTGCTCTGAGGTCACATCCCAAAAATCTGGTGTCAACCCCCTGGAGTAATATGTGCAGAATAGAAGATGGGCAGGATGACTACAGACCTAACTGAGCTGGCCTGTGAGGGCCAGTGTCCTCCACATGGCTATGTGCCCCACAAGGATGATCTCAGGATAGGAGGAGGGGCTACTAGTTAGACACTGAGAAATAAAGAGCTCAGGTCAAATCTAAAATATTAAAGAATCAATACTGGTGGGGATTGGGGTAACACACTAAATAAAAGATTACACGGTGCCAACATGACTTGGAGTTGAATTCCAACTGTACTGTTGTGTTGGTGAAGTCTACGAAGGCAAACAAAACTCAGCTCCTAGCCTACCCTCAAGGACTCCAGTGGTAAAGATATCTAAGCAAAGTAATGAATGGATCCCCTGAGCAAAACAGAAAGGTGACTTCAAGATCAAACATAAGATTTAAAGGAAATAGTAAATGTGGTTTTAAACTTGGTTTTTGTCTTAAAATGCACTGGCTAGCAAGACAGTGGTCTTATTTGGCAAGCAGCCCCTTCACCAATCATGCAGGCCAAGAGGCAGAAGCTAGCCACATCACAAGAAGCTTGCTGGATCCCTCTACTGGCCACTGTATAACACTGCCAGGGACTTTTGTGCAGGCAGTCACAGAACCAAGAGGTAAAGATTTAAAAGGTTACATGAGACTGAATAAATGATTAGTTTGAAGACCGCCAACTGGAAAAGGGAGCCAGTTAATCCTCTATTGAAGTGTGTTTTAAGTGTATGCAGATTCAACCAATTTTGAATCAATTTGCAAAGCAATTCCTATTTTATAGGTTTCTTTCTCTTCCTCCCTTTCTCCAACCCCTTCTCTTTTTCTTTTCTTTCTTTTGGCAGCACTGGTGATGGAACCTAAAGCTTTAGCCTTGTTAAGCAAGTTTCTCCACCATGGAAAAGATGCAGGTACTATATCCAGATAGTTCAGACAAAGACTTGGGAAATAACTTGAAAATTCAACCATTAAGATTGGGGGGGGGGGGGCTAGAGAGATGGCTCAGAGGTTAAGAGCACTGGCTGCTCTTCTAGAGGGTCTGAGTTCAATTCCCAGCAACCACATGGTGGCTCACAACTATCTATAGTGAGATCTGGTGCTCTCTTCTGGCCTGCAGGCATACATGCAGGCAGAACACTATATACATAATAAATAAATAAATCTTAAAAAAAAAAAAGATTTCTGTCATGCTGAGCGGTGGTAATGCATGCCTTATTCCCAGCACTGGGGAGGCAGAGGCAGTTTGAGGCCATCCTGATCTACAGAGAGAGTTCCAGGACAGTTACCCTGTCTTAAACAAATAAAATTTAAAGAGCAATTATCATACTATTAAGGCCTATTGCCACCGATGACAATGAAAATCCTCAGTAAGTTTGGCTACACACCACATTAACAAAGGGGCAATATTAACAGAGGTTTGTAACAGGATTGCCAATCTAAACTATCTGAATATAATAATCAAAAGGCCCAGGATCCAATTTATAAAGTTATTTCAACAGGAAAATATGACTTATTTTCAAAGGAAAAAAACAGATAGTGAACCCATGCTAATTCAGATCCTACATTTACCAAAGGTGTCAGCTACAACAAGATGAAGTGAAAGTGAACAGTCTTGAAATGAAGGACAACAGCAGCACTAGCAAAAGAAGTCATCCAAAAGGGGGGTTGGGGCAGGCAGTGGAGTGGATACTGGAGAGATGGCTCAAACAGCTGCCCTTCCAGAGGACCAGAGTTTAAACCTCAACACCCACATTAGGCAGCTCACAAACACCTGTAACTCCAACTCCAAAGGATCTGATGTCCTTTTCTGGCCTCCAAAGGCAACAACACACATATTAACACACACACACTGGAAGATGTTTGTAGGGAGCCGTCCCTGCATTCTCCATTACAATGATGGTGCCTGCAGGCACCGAATGTAAATTATTTCGCAGGCGCTGGGTAATTTCCATTTCTTTGATCTCTGCCTATCCCGTGGCTCATATGGCCTGAGGAGCTGAAGCCATTCATAGGGTGACACGTCCCAGGCGGCCGCTGCCAGCCTTTATTAAGGGACGGGATTCTTGGCTCGGGGTCTCCGCTCTGGTAAGCTTATGCTCTCCTCTCTCAAGATCATTAAAGCTTTCCTGCAGAAGGATCCGAATGTCCTGTGTGATTCTTGCCAGCGAGAATATCGCGCGGGACAGATGTTTGTCTCCAGTGTTCATCTAGACAACAGAGGTGGAGATGTGTGCTCAGTTTACTGCACAAGCAATCATCAACCTGAGCAATAGAACAAAAGCTTCTGGAGGGATGGGTCCATGTTCAGCAGCACCCACTTAGTATGTTCAAGGCCTAGGTCTGATCCCTAGTGCCATCAAATAAAAACAAACAAACAAACAAACAGCCAACCAACCAACCAAACAAACAAGGATTTACAAAGCAGCTTTTGGAAGTTATCAACACTAACACTAATCCTAAAAGACATGAACTGTTTTCTCCTAATATAAACCTTTAACCTGTGTTTTTAGCTTTTATAAACTGAACTCACAGAAAAGGCCAAGAAAAGTTGCTAGGAGGAACTGACTTGAGACAGACCATGATCAAGCCCCTTCTACCTCAAGTAAACACAATGTCAGGTGACTTTGTTGATCAACCTTTATAAAAAGTACTTTCATTGCCTTTTTTTTTTTTTCCTGCCTTCCATCTCCCTCCCTGCAACCCTAAACCTCCAATGGTGCTGGGGATGAAACCCCTCATGCACGATAGGTAAACACAAGCACTGAGCTATACTTGAAACCCAACACTGTAATTTTGAATCCTACTTACGATCTAGTTTGGCTGTAATGACAGGCGGTAAAACAGCTTTGTGAAATGGAACACTAAGAAAGGACTCTGGGATAAACATGCTGTGGCTCTAAAAGGCCATGTGTCCAATTCTCAGTTGTCGTTCCCTACAATACCATAATACTACCTTAAAACAGTACTGTGTATGCTGAGAAGGGATGACACCCACCTTTAATCCCGGCATCAGGAGGCAGAGACAGGTAAATCTCTGAGTTCAAGGCCAGCCTGGTCTACAGAGCAAGTTCTAGGACAGCCAGAGCAACAGAGAAACCCTGTCCTCAAAAAAAAACAAAAAACAAAAAAACAGTACTGTGTGCAATTATAAGGCCAAAGTGTGACTGAATGTAGATACAGCTGTTGCAGACAGCTGTTCTAAGACATTATTCTCACCGTGTTTTTCGTTACCTATTACCTACTAAGGGTAACTTACTTGGTCAGCTTGTGGCTTTTCATTGCTGTGAGGAATTCTTGAACAATCTCGGGACTCTGGTTCCTACATGGCGTTTTTGATATGTATTTTAATGTCTAAAAAATAAATACACAAAAGAAAGGCAACATAAGATACAGAAATTTTGAGGGCTTTTATTGATTTATTTTTAATTATGTTGAGTCTATGAGGATATGTGCACTTAAATACAGATACCTGTGGAGGCTAGAGGTTTTGGAACCGCCTAAAACCAGAATTCCAAGCAGCCGAGTCACCCAGTGTGGGTGCTGGGAATCAAACATGGGTCCTCTGCAAAAGCAATATGTGTTCTTAACCACTGAGCCATTTGGAGCCCCAGGATACAGGAATTTGAGTAAGGGGCTAGAGAGATGGTTCAGTGGTTAAGAACACATACTGCTCTTGCAGAGGCCCCAGGTTCAATTCCTAGCATCCACATCGTGGCTCACAACTATATGTAACTCCAGTTCCAAGGATCTGACTACCTCCTCTGACCTCCACAGGTAAAAATGCAAGCAAAATACTCAAATACATAAAATCTTGAAAAAATAATTCTGAATAAGAAAAAAGGAAAGCAGTGGTATAATTTAATATTCTAAAATTCTCATACTTTCAAGAGTTATTTTTTATTTTTTGAATTATGTTTATATGTGTGCATGAATGTATGTATATAAGAGAACAGGTGCAGGGGAAAGAAACACTGATTCCCTGATACTGGAGTTAGTTACAGGTGGTTGTGAGCTGCCCAGTGCAGGTGCTAGAAACCAAACTCAGATCCTCTGCAGGAGCAATAAGTACCTTTAACTGCTGAGCCACCACTCCAGTCCCAAAATAGTCAAGTGTTCTAGCACGGAGCTACATCTCTAGCCCAACACCTGGGGAGTTTTGTTTTTGCTGACTTGTCCTTAGGTAATAATGTCAAGTTTCCATTTATACATCAATTAAATGTAATACTTTCTTGCTATTTCTACTCAATTCCCAAACAGGTTAGGAAGAACAACCTTATGAATTATTTTTGCTTTCTTCCTTTTATTTCTTCCTTTAAACCCAGCATCAAAGAGGCAGAGGCAGAGGCAGATTTCTATGAGTTCTAAACCAGCCTGATGTGTGAGTTCCAGGCCAATCAAGGATACATAATAAGTCCCTGTCTCAAAAAAACTCAAAAGGAGGAAAAAAATAATAATTTGGCCTTACACAAAAAGCAGTTCTGGCCTTTGTCCTAAAGTTGCAGGTGGTAATTTCCAGGTTCTTGGAATGTTATGCCTGGGCCATGGGTCACACTACACATGCTTATCAACCTACCTTAGCAGCTGACCCCACCTGTATAGTTTTAGAGCAAGGGTTAACTGGCAGTAAGACTAGTATATATCAAGACCCAGCATGCCAGCACAGTCATTTTGATGCCTCCCAAGACACCCTGGGGGAAATGACATAACAATCACTGCTTCTGGTTATGACTCCTGAACAGACAGGACTGTTATGAACATTCTATACTGGGTCTTTTTGTTATTACAAGCCACAGTGAACTCTAGATGACCCTGCAATCACTTACAAGCAAGCCAGGGGGAGAGCATTTCCCTTGATGGCCTTGCACTGGGTCTAATATGACTTGTGTGAAAGAGACAAGGCTATGATTAAAGCAAACAAACTTTCATCTGCATGTGAAGTCGGCTGTGGTCACTGCCAACACCTTATTACAGCTGGTCTGAATGTCAGCTTGCCACAATTAGAATCACCTAGTAGGAAGCCTCACCTTAAGAAAGGTCCTAATTGCCTTGACTGATGTGGGGGGGTCTCACCTATACTATGGGTGGCACCTTCTGCTAATAGTCCAGATAAAAAAGGGCGTGGGGGTGGGGGAGAAGGAACTGGGATTGACATGTTTTTTGTTTTTTTGTTTGTTTGTTTTTTCGAGACAGGGGTTTCTCTGTGGCTTTGGAGGTTGTCCTGGAACTAGCTCTTGTAGACCAGCCTGGTCTCGAACTCACAGAGATCCGCCTGCCTCTGCCTCCTGAGTGCTGGGATTAAAGGCGTGTGCCACTAAAGCCCGGCTGGGATTGACATGTAAAACAATCTTGTTTCTAATTTAATAAAAAAATGGAGGGAAAGAAAGGGCGTGGTAGAAGGAGGATCCCCTGGCCCTCTGTTCTCGTGGCCCCCTCTACTGCTGGGTTGATCTGCCCAGTTGCTGCTGCTGATTCCTACACTGATATCAGAACCAGAGTTTCCAAGCTTCCATCATGGACCAGGAACCAGCAGCTCTCCAGGAAATTTCTAGGCTTCTAGTGCCAAATAGAGACTGCTTAGGCACCCAGCCTTGTGGACTGAGCAACTCCCAGTGAGAGACAGCTATTTGTGGAACCATTGTGCTACTGAGGCATGGAGTCTCAAGGACCAAGAAACTATAGGGTTCTCAGCTCTCAGTAGGAGTCACTGTAGTAACTATTTTAAAGCTAACTGGATATTCTTCGTTCCATTAATTCCATTCCTCTAAGAGAGCCCTGACTAATACACCTTTTCTCTACCTAAGTAGGCTGTTCAACTCACTGGTGAGCTGACTACAGAAGACACCCTCACCTTCTATGCTGCCTGCCTTCCCTAATGTTGCAACGTGTCCAATAAAATGCTTCTGTCAGGTGGCTTTGTGGTTTATCATTGTTTTTTCCTTTCCCATTTCTTTTTTTTTTTTTTTTTTGGTTTTTCAAGATAGGGTTTCTCTGTGTATCTTTGGAGCCTATCCTGGCACTCGCTCTGGAGACCAGGCTGGCCTCGAACTCACAGAGATGCGCCTGCCTCTGCCTCCCGAGTGCTGGGATTAAAGGCATGTGCCACCAATGCCCGGTCCCTTTCCCATTTCTAGCACAGCAAGCTGCAGGGCAACATGAAGAAGCAACAGAGACAGTGAAGTAGCAGCAAAGACAGTGGCATTGGTGTAGCAGTGGGACCAACTACATAGCCACCGACACCTCAAGCTTCCGAAGCATGGGGCAGCTGGCTACTTTGCAGCTAGGGAAGCAAAGATGAGCTGCTGCCCAGCCAATTGCAAAGGTGACATGGGCAGGCTGCTCTGACAACTGAAGATGACACAGAGCTGACAGCAGTGGCAGCTGTCTCCCAAAGCAGCCTCCCTCTCCAATGGCGAGGCCCTGAGCAGCGGGGCTCACCTCATAGGTGATGGCGTTTAAGTTCTGCTGCCCAGCGCTATGTTTGTTCTTCCCACTCTCCTTCCGCTGCTCTTTGAGATCTGTTAGTAACTGGTACACCTAGGAAGGGATGCAAAAGATATTTGTCAGTGTAACTGAGGCTGTATCTCTTCCAAGGTTTTAAAAGACACTCAGGCAATGCCACTTTCTTGCCACAAACCTGCTTCCCAACAGTTGGTTTAGAGCAAGTATTTCATCCTAGAACTATGCAACTTCTTTCAGTTTCTCTTGGCTAAGTCAATTCAAAACATTCATTTATTTAAAATACAATTCCAGAGAGATGGCTCAGTGGCTAAGAGATGGCTCACTAGCTACTCTTATAGGGGACCCTCACAAGGGCCAGTTCACAACCACTGTAATTCCAGGTCCAGGGGGTCCAATGGCCGAGTCTGGCTTCTGTGAGCACCATACATGCACACCCACACACAGACACACACATGTTAAAAATTAAAAGTAAACCCTTAAAAAAAAAAAACTGTGAACACTACTTTAAAACATGTATCACAGGCCAGAGAGAAGGCTCAGCTGGTAAAGGTCCTTGCTGCTAAACATGGCAACATGAATTCTGTCCCCAGACCCACGTGGCAGAAGGAGAAACAACTTCCACAAGTCCTCTGTCCTCCATGTCCATGCAGATAACACATACACACAAAAAAAATAAAATTTAATTTACAAATGAAAAAATGTATCCTTTTTTAAATCTCAAAACCATTTTGAGTATTTCAAAGTAAATTTTCCTAAACTAAATATTTTAAGGGGCTCTGCTTAGTACACAAGCCTAGTGTAAACAATTTTTCTGTAAAAGAACATGTGACAAAAATTATAAAATACAGCATTAAAAAAAACAAGAGCTGAGGATATTGCTCAGTGGCAAACCATTTGCCTAAGATGACAAAGTCTCTGGGTCCCCAGCATGACAAGGAAAACTGCTACAAGCCACAAGAGCACACAGTAATTAATCAGCCTCATTTCACAAGACAAAGCCATAAGAATTAAGAATTCTTCTGGAGGATTAAACCAGGACACAAGGCGTATTGGAATATAGTCTTATGAATAAAATGGGCTGTTTCTTGCTGTAGATTCTTCCTGTAGCTTATTCCTTTTAGTAACAAACTTGGGATTTACTTCCCACAGCTCAACACTATCTGATCATTTACTGGGCATACTTTCTCTCATGCATTTGGAGTTTACTGACTACACTTCCTAGCTATGTGTGAAACCTGTTCTCCATTACCAGGTCCTAGTTTACGGATTACATTCCTTAGCTATGTGTGAGACCTGTCTCCCACTATCAGCTCCTTGTTCCCCTCTCTTATGTAATTGCAGAGATCTGCCTTCCTGCAATTATCTTTATTGACAGTCATTTGGTCCGTTGTTAAGGACCCAAGCAAAAGCATTCCATCTAAGACATTTCCAGATATCCAAGGACACAGAACTACTACACTCCCAAAACTGTTGATTCATAGCTGCCTAGATGGATAGAAAAAATAAGCATGCCCTAGCTTTACCTCACTGGCAGATAGAGAAATGATAATCTAAACTAACCCTATACTAAAAGATTCTCTAACTTATTTTCATTGACTCAAATTTTAGCTCAGAGATGTACTGCTTCCCCCGTTTCCCCTGAGAAGATAAAGACAAAGGTAATCAGCCTATTTGCTGATTTGCAGGAAAGTTTATTTTTCAGGGAAAAATAAACTTTCCTGGAGACCTGTGCCACCACTAAGGCCAAAGCACTGGAAGGTGCCAGGTTCTGTTTCTTGTACAAATTAAACTTAGACCCATTCCTTGACCCACAGCCCTAAGCAAATGGTGCTAAAAGTTTCTCCTAGCAGTTTTAGTTTATTGCTCTATGTGTAAATCTTATCTGCCTTGCTGACCCTGAGAAACTCAAGCCTCACACTGTATTGCTGTTACAAACATGTACATATACCAGTACTCCCCAAGAACTGGGAGGAGAAGAAGAAGAGACAGAAGAATAAAAAAATGTCCAGAGAACTATCGTGTGTGAGTCAATTCTTTCTCTTAGACCCCCTTAGCTATTTTTCCTTCACTTTCTATAGTCTTAACTGGACCCTGTAAGGAATCCTAAAAAGGGAGTTGGTACCCAAAAAAAGATCCCGATAAGAAACAAAGGGAAAATGCTATAGATTGTTAGAAGTAAACTCTCCCCACAAAGGAACAACACATACACATTAGTGCTGGGTTGGAAGTGAGTGGGACTTTACTCCTGTTTCTGAGATCCTACCAGAGATCTGAGAAAAAACAAGCTCATAGATCATTACTAGACAGGTGTGCAGCACCCACCTCCAACAGTCCCCCAAGCCCACCACCTCTGAAAAATAGTGGCATGAGACCCAGTGAACATAATGTTTCCCCAATGGCACGAATACTAAGCAGATTTCCTAATAGTCAGTGTTTTGACCAATGAACATTTCCTTCCTGTGGCTAAGCCACAACCACTTAGGCTGATCTTTAGTAAACAATATGGCAAACTGAATTAATTCTACACACACACACACACACACACACACACACACACAC